AGCTTATTGTATGTCCCTACTAGCTCCAGTGATAAGAGATCAAATGAATCTTTTCCTCTGTGATCTTCCTTAAATATTTTCCTTGGATAAAGATGAGAGCTTTAGATAAGAAGAGCAAATCTGGTGTAGTGCTTTGAGTGTTGGAGTATGACTGGAGTTCAGTTTGATTCCCCACTCAGCCATAGAAAACCACTGGGCAACCTTGGATGAGTTACACACACTGAACTACAGACAACCCTGTGATAGGTCCACCTTAGGTTCATCATAAGTCATAAACAACTTGAAGGTAAAAACAACAAAGCTTTTTTCCCCACTGCGTCCCATCACCCCAGCTAAATAGGTTCTGTTCTGGTTCTCCATAGAAATGCACCCCATTTTTTTCTAGTTCCATGAACATTTGTGCATTTTTTAAAGAAAAAGAAACCTATTTTTATGTGCACTGTGCCAAGTGTTTGTGCATACCAGTTTAAATGAATGTGACCTTTGTATATTTGTTGTTGCACTTTCAAACATTGGAAAAGTATGGATTTGGATGTATAATTAACTGTTCAAGTATCTATTCAAAAGGTGCAAAACTGGGAAGTTCATCCTAAATACAAATGGAACTAAAATCTCACTCATGCATAATCTTGAATTTCTGGCAAACAGTAATATTAATTCCACCAGAAAGAAATAAGAAGATTCTTTTGATCTCTCTCCCTCTCCCCCTCCCCCTTTTCTCCCTTTCTTTGTAAACATCCTGTTATTAATATTGCCCTATAAGCCACCTGACCTCTGTGGACTGGGTTACATCTTAATGACGACTAGAGAAGATGATAATGAATTATTCATTTATTCTTAGGGGAAAATATTCTTTCTTCTCCTCCATTATTTTCTCTATGTATTTCACTTCACTTTGTTTAATGATGGGGAAAAACAAAACAAAACATCCAGCTTCCTAAAGTGCTGAAACATATAAATGTGAAATCTATTTAATGTTGAGGTATAATGCACCACTGCATATCTGCTGTTTTCTGGTGTAGTACACATATCCTGAATGTAATAAATCATTATGCTATTGCTGATGAGTTGCAAATGTTCACTGTTTTATGGCAAAGAATTGTTTCTTGCACAGAACTGATGGGTCCTATTATCTTACAAGTTACTTCATGTTTTTCTTCTTTTTTTAAAAAAAACCTCAAAGTGTCATTGTCACAAAATGGTTCCTCTGCTTCTGAAGTGATTGATAAGTTTTTAATTATAAATCAAATTTTAATTCAGTTGCTCTGTTCGTTCAAGTATAACTTATGAAATTTAATGTATAAAATATTCATATGTGTAATAATTGAGTTTGTAATGCTGGTGGGTCCCATTGCTCAGGAATGCAAAATTCATTTTCCAATTTCATAATAGTGGGTTTTGGAAGCTAGAGCCATTTTAGAAACTAGAGAGGTAGTTGGAAGCTGAGAGGGAAAATGTAAGGGGACAACCTGTCTCCTATAAATGTATCTTGGGCAAATGTGCAACTTGAAATTGTGTTAATGATATCCTATGGGCATAGAAATAAACTCTTCCCAGCCTTTCCCTGCCATTGGGCTGCTCATCTTAAGACAAGGCTGGACCTACCATTATGTCAAGGGATCAACTGCTCCTCCAGAACAACTTGATTATTTCCTTCTGTTGAAGGCAGAGCACATGTTATACAGAGTGCCATATTCTCTGAAACTTTTTTGCTGCCCTCAGATGTGGTGAAGGATGCCATCCTGTTGCCAGTGTTCAACATTACATTCAATCAACCTCTATAAGAAACACAATTTTACCTTTCATGGGTAACAAAATGTTCTTGAGCCAGCCATGTATTCTAGTAATGTGTGTGGTATGCAGTGCATGCAGACATCACCTTTTTTAAGAATGCAGTTCCCAGAACTATATGTGATTTTGGGAGTTGTAGTCTAAACAATACCTTTGCAAGCTCTGAACTGATATGCAAAAAAATTACAACTAACTTATCCCTGAGAGTGGCTAGGTGAACAGTGAAATCATGTTTCTTCCATTTGGCTTTTAATACCCTCTTCAAAATAAAAAGGTTAAAAGTATTAACTATGCTTATTTATTCAGTTATCTATTTTACTATTTTGATGTATTGTGTTTGGTGATGCTTACTCCCAAAATACATATTCTGTTCATAATAAAAACTGAGAGTTGAGTTAAGGTGATATTTCACTTTCACATTTAAATGAGAAGGACTCATTAACATACCACTACTATCACATTCTCAGGACTTAATTACTATAAACATTTAATCAATATCCATGTGAAATCATCTGCTCTATTAGATGTTGTAGTAAATCTCTGTAGTCCAACATACACCAACAACACAAATCCAGAGAGTCATTGCTGAGTTTATCTGTGTGGACCAACATAGTTGATACTGATTTGTGGACCAATATAGTTGATATTCATCCACAAATTATGCAGTCGAGTTTCCCGCATTTGGGGAAATATTCAGTTTCCCCTTTACCAATTTAATCATGTTTTCACAATAGCTAACTGGTCCGAACTTGAATTCTAAACCCATTAGGATAATAAAATAGTCTTTCCTAATAACTATAATAGCTGGTATGCATGACAGACATATTGTATAAATATTTACTGAGTTTTTAGCATTAATCTTGCTAAAGCTACAAATGAGATTTCTACCAGTGATCCTCCTCATTTAAACCTTGAAAACTGCTGTCCTTTTCTTAATTATGTTCAGCACTTGTGGCTGATCACTAAGTGGCTATGACTAGTGAAATGATTTTGCAGATTATACTGTGAAATCTCAAACATGTTCTCTTTCTGTGGTTTCAAAAACACATTTGCACAGTTTCAGAAAGGTTCATCACACAGAGTTGCATTATTTTAAGACTTTCTGTAATTGAATCTGTTCCTTGTGGAAAATTGCATTTAAAAACTTGACTCTGTTACAGTTCCATTGAAAATAATGGGTGGATACGACAACCATTTACCAAGTGTAATCACCCAGGAAGATTATCATCTATTTTTTATGCCAGTTGGAAAGAAGATTTTCATCACTATCATCATATACTGGGTACAGGTGCAGTAATTCATGATAAATCAGTTAGCCACATGCTGTTTGAAGAACATGATACATGTGATCAGAGGGCTACACAAACTATGCTTCTGCATTCATTTTGTTGACTGGTGCCACTTGTGGCCAGTCAGACCACTCCTTTTTGCTTGTGTGGCTATGTTTTGGGATGTATGAAAAATATTTTCTTTTGAAGGGTTTTTAGGCATTTTATTTTATCTGTACTCCTTGGACCAAACATGGAAAATCATTGAGAAGCTTGGTTGTGAAGCTTGAAATGCATTCTTCAAAAGAGCACAAATCCTGTATATACAAATTTGAATGATATGCACAAATGTGCAAAAATACTGTATGCTTTTCTAAAATGTGCACAAACACACTTTTGTCCATAGATGCATGCATCCCATATTGAAACAATGTGTCAACGTGAGAAAAAAATGCATAGATAAATATACAGTATAAAGATATGCCACTGTTAAAAATCACACAAAGCGATCACAGGGTAGACTTTTAAAGTGACAAAATAAGAAGGCCTGTGGAAACAGATTTATCCAAGCTATGCTTCCAGTTCCCTTTCTGCCTGCCAAGTAAGCAGACTCAATATGTACCAACTTCTTTTGGCTTATTCTACTGTGAATCTTCATGAAGAAAATTTCACTCAGAGATACAGGCAAGACTCAAGTGACTTTGTCATTGTCACCATTCATATCCTTCCCAATTTGGTGGATATTCCCGATCTTACTCCTGGACTCCTTGTAAATAAAAAAATGAACAATATTTGATTATTTCTCTCTGTAGTAGAAGGCAATCCACAGTGGGAGAAGCTTTGGAGAGCTTTACACAATTTGTTCATCCTTTTGTTTTCTTGGCTAGTCATTTATTTCTAGTATTAGTGCAGTGGTAGGAAAGAATTCTGTTTTTGAGTTTCAGTTCTTGCACAGCAAGATGCTGCATCAGCCAAACCAGTCTTAGTGCAACCTAGCAGAATAATCCTTACTTGGAGCTGAAGGCTGTTCCACACATAATGCAAAAATGAACTCAGGCTGTCTAAATAATCAGGAGGATGCTGCAGTCCATTACATTGATACACATGTTCTTAAGTAAGGAATAAATGAAAATTTTGTTTGATATATATTAGTTTGATATATTAGAAGAACTTCCAAAATGCACAAAATTATTCACACATTTGATAGTTTTTTTTTCTTTAAAGTTTTCCTTTAACTAAATATTAACAATGTGGGAAATAGCAGATTTGACAGATTTGCCCATCTAGGGAAAGGGTTTTGAGTGAAGAAATCTTAAAAAGTGTGGCTAGGAAATTTTCATCTTTACCAACTATGTGGCAGGCAGATACAATATGATCGCTCCCTTGTGCCAATATCATTACCTAGTGCATTTCACCAGTGTATCTGTTTAAGACTTTCATTTAATTTTTATGCATTTTAAAAAAGAAAATAGAACTTCCTAAAACTAGGTTTCTTCATAAATTCAATGGAAATAATTTAATATTTTCTTTTTTCTTTTTTAAAAAAATAATCTGGAAAAAAGCAAAACTGGTAAATTAATCCTAAAACAAGCAGATAATGAGGATTCAAGTTTATGTTTTGATACATTCATACTTCATATGTTTATTTTGATAGCTACATATAAGTGTAGATCTTTAAAACAATGTATAAATAACATTTAAGAGCAAGAAATGTGGCGATAATTGTTTTGAAGTACCTTCTATTAGCTGAAATTGTGGTTTGGCACAACAGTAGTTTATTGCTGTTGTTGTGTGCCTTCAAGCCATTTTCTTGTTATGGTAACCTTGAGGTGACCTTATCATGGGTTTTTCTTTTCAGGTTTCTTTGGAGAGGGTTTACCATTGCCATCCTTTGAGGCTGAGACTGTGTGACTTGCCCAGGGTCACCCAGTGGTGGTTTCATGACAGAATAGGGAATCAAACTCTGGTCCCCAGAGTCATAATCAAATACTCAAGCCACTATGCCACACTGGCTCCTTCATATGTGTGTGTGTGTGTCTGTGTGTCAGTGTGTGCCTTTGTGTGCATGCTCACCCACCTACCATACACACCAGGGGTAGGCAACCTTTCCCCTTTAAGGGCCGATGGACTTCAGCTCCCAGAATCCCAGGACCTATTGGCCAACATGGAAAGGCCAATTTAGCTGAGGCTTCTGGGAGCTGAAGTCCATCGGCCCTTAAAGGGGAAAGGTTGCCTACCCTTGATATAGACTCTCTCTCTCTCTCTCTCTCTCTCTCTCTCTCTCTCTCTCTCTCTCTCTCTCTCTCTCTCTCTATATATATATATATATCATACATACACACATATACACACACACACATGAATGCTATTCTGAGAGATGTTATAGGTATAAGTCAGGATATCAATGTCAGTAGTTATTCCATTAATCAGTTATGACATTGTTAACAATATTGTTGAGTAGATATTGCCCTCTCAGTGGGTCATTTGGTATTCTTTTATTAAATAATAATAAAAATCCCAGTGACACGGTGAAGGATTGAAACCTCAATTGATGTTCCAACTTCCTCCTGCCTTCCCTTATTCCTGGAGCTCTTCTAAAGAAGAGCAGTGATTGCAGTGGGTAAGACCACTGTCACACTGTTTGGACATCACTGAGTACCCAGAAGAGGAAATCAAGTTGTATGGTGTTGGACCGTGCAATATAACCTTTTATAACTTTGCCTATAAATTGATGTGTACTGAGAAACCTTTTTGAAAGTGCCATACTTTGTCAGAACCAATTATGTAGTAAACCAGGAAAGGATATTCTTTTAGACTGTAGAATTTACACCCACCCATATAGCTAGCAGTGACTAAATAAGCTGTTGATGCCAACTGAAGACTTATCTAATCTCCAAGTCTTTGAGGTGAAACTTGAATTTTGTAAATTGCTTTTTAAATGTGTATGTGATCTCCTCTATTTTCTCCTCATTTCAACATTTATTGCAGACATTTATCACAGACTATATTTTTGTTTAGTGGCACTGTATCCACTTTGAGGGTTTTTTTATAATGAAAAGCAGGCTATAATTTTTGCACATAATAAATAATCTGCTCCTAGTCAATAGTGCCTAATCTGGCTTTGTAAATAAAATGGTGGCATGAACATGGTGAATCCAAATGCTTTGAGTACTCTTAGCTCTCCATTCTATACCACTGTGTTTGATGTGTGTTGCATGTGAAAGAGTTATACCTTTAGAACATGCAAACCTACTTTTAATGTCTCTTAGAATGAGAATTTCATTTGTGAGATCAATATCTGAGTTTCAAGAAGGAGAGAAAGGAAAAGATAATGAAATGTGCAGATCCCATCTCTGCAGGCTTATTAGAGAGTATTATTACCATGAAAGGAAGAAAATATTCACAAATAATTCATGGTAATGTTCACTTCTTTACAGCAAGGAAAAGGTGTACCCCACTCGCTATTTTGAGGTCATTGCTGGACTGCTGTCCTAGAGAGGGAAAGATTTTCATCTTAATTGAACATGTTTTTGAGTAATGTTGCACTTGGTCCTAAGAAGGTGTGGGTGCAAATAAGCTGATCCATTTCACATAATCATAATGGTTTAAGATGCTTGCAGGCCTTATACTCTAACTTCAGGCTTCATGTTGGTCATCCAAAGCTGAAGAATACCAAGATGTTGTACTGTTGCTGCTTGATGAAAGAAAGCTTACTAACCCTCTAGGTAATCAATTCCATTGATGAATTTATCTTATTAATATATTTCTGCCAATCCAAGAAAAATCTGCTTTCTTGTAGATCAGGGATAAGGAGATACTGTCCCACTGGCACCAAGTGTATGCCAAGACCCACTGTGGCAGCCACTGGAGCTGCTCTGGGGGCCCTGACCCCCCATTAACATTTGGAGGGTCTGTTTTTCCAGTGGTTTTTCACTTTAAATGGTCCAAGATGCACCTCAAACTCTAAAATGTGTTCTTACCCTCTGAAAATACGTAAGAATGGGCCAAATTGCTCAAACCTGTTGACAATGAATGATGCAACATCACTTCAAATGCATTTGGAAGCATGAATGTACACACATTGGGAGGGTATGACTTAAGGCAAAATGGGTCCATATCTTCCAAGCACTTGCCCAATTCGTGGTGAGGGCACAAACACTTTAATTCTGCTTGAAGTGAGAAAAATAGGCACAAATCAAGTCTTTAAAAATGGAGGTGACCAGCACTGGGAATAGTGAATTGTGTTGATTTGACAGTAACATTATCTAGACTCAATTTAATGGGTGGTGATTCCAGACACAAATTCCTCCATAGAAAACTTATATTGCCAGTTCGTATGCAATACTTTCTCAATACATTTTCCATCTTTTTTAAAACTTCACTTTTGTTGTCTTTTATGCCTTTTTTTATCTCATTCACTCACAAACTGTATGCTGCGAAAAGAGCAATTTATTGGAATGTATTTACCTTCAGAAGTACAGGTCATGATGGCTAGGCCAAAAAAAATTTAGGAGATGTTTGACAAGGCCTTGTATTCACTATATTGTGGAATGACATCTTTGTTCTTCTGATAAATGTTGTCTATTTTACTTTACTGTTGCATGGAGCAGCTAATCTTTCTGAAGTATTAAGGATAGAGTTATAGGCTGTAATATACTTTACACTTTACTTCATGCCACCTGGGTTGATTGCTAGAAATTGATTTCTTTACTCTTCAGAGTTTGTTTGGGGGGGGAGGGGAAGTAAAAAAAGTTTCAGCCTCTGCAAAGTATCACCCCAATCTCTTATAAACAGGACACACACACACATACACACACACTACATATGTTATAAAAGGCTAATGGGTTTCTTTCTTTTCTTTTGCCTCCAAGTCTAGACTAAGCTAAGTCAGAAAGAGACACAAAATTGATCTGTATTGTATTTCTCCAATTTCTAAATCTATCATAGAAATACCTCCTGTTGCAGATGTCACAGAAAGAGACACAGTCTGTTGTTTGTTGTTATGCTGCTAGAATGTAGACACAAGAAACATGGATATAGAAACCACAGTCTTGTAGTAGTTTAATGACTAACACATTTATGAGCTTTTATGGAGATGAATTCGTTAGATATATTAAAAGCAATCCTGAACTGACAAGTATATATACGCATGGGTGTTGGCGATGAAGGGAAGTAGTCAGAGGGGTATAAAATGGAAACCAAAAAGTCATAATTACACAAATGAAAAATAGTGATAGCTAATAACCATTAACAAGCCAATGCTTGTGATAACACAAATATCCCCTAATTAGCACATGTGATGTCATGAAACCCTATCATTTCAATGGAATCAACACTAATCTGCGACAGTTTATTCCATATTATCTTTGCAAATTTTTAGGGTACTATAATACTCCAGTAGTTTTGCTGCCACAGACTAACACAACTATCCCTGTGGAGACTGTTAAGTTGGCACATTACCTAATATATGAGGAGAAAAGTAGAATTATGCTGACAAAGTGACTTCCTATTGCCAAATTTTGTTAGCCTAACAAGGAGGTCTGTAGTGTAGGAAGAGTGGTGACCCAGATATGAATGGATGGTATTCATCAATAGCCGTAGCAATAACAATAGCAAGTATATTTCTATACTGCTTAACAGTTAACTTAAGTACTTCCTAAGTGGTTTACAATTTTTAAGCTAATTACCATCAACAAGCTGGGTACTCATTTTAGCAACCTCAGAAGGACACAAGCCTGAGTCAAGCCTGAACCCCTGGCTGGTATTGAACTCACAACCTTGTGGTTTGTAAGTGAGTGGCTGCAGTACAGGCATTTAACCACTGCACCACCAGGGCTCAAGAAAGGGGAGGTTAGAATTATTTCTGTAAGCAAAAAGACAGAATCAAGTAGTGGAAACATTCTGCAATAATATAATTCCAAGTTTAGGTTTAGGGTTCAGGTGTTGTATATCATAAAGCCATAAGATAGTCATTAGGAGGGAAGAGAGTCAATCAGAAAATGTCTGAATAATATCTCACCTCTACAAAGGAACGAAGGTGCTTTTCCCAAGCTACTATCGCCTCTCTTTCTCCCTCATACACTCATACATACCAGCCTCATTTGTTAGGTAGGAGGGGGAAAATACTGGACTATCATGTAAGGACTATCAAGTCAAAGGACTACCAAGGTCAAATTTATAATTTTCCATTAAGTTTTTTTCTCTCAAAAGAAGCAATGAAAGCAGTAAATGGTTATAGAGGGAACAAGGGAAATAGTGCAGGGACCCAACAGTGGGAGGGAGAAAACTTTACACAGGCAAGTAGGAGGGAGCACCCATGGTCTTCAATGTCTCTACACTAATGCACAGAGCATGGGAAGTGATCAAGATGAACTTGAACTCCTAGCACAGCAAAGCAAATATGATATAATAGGCATCACTGAAACCTGGTGGGATGAGTCTCATGATTGGAATGTAGTAATAGAGGGGTATAGCCTTTTTTTTAAAGAGAAATTGGCCAAACAAGAAAGGAGAAGTAGCAGCACAAAGAGATCCAAGACTTAAATCCTGGAAGCCAGGTGGAGAGCATCTGGATAAAAATTAAAGGGAAGGGAAACAACAGGGATGCTATTGTGGGAGTCTACTACAGATCCCCAAGTCAGACTGAGGAATTGGATGATGCCTTTCTAGAACAGATGACCACACACTCAGAAAAGAGAAATTTAGTAGTGATGGGTGATTTCAATTTCTCTGATATTTGTTGGAAATTAAACTCAGCCAAAACATTAAGGTCTAGCAAATGCCTTACTTGCCTGGAAGATAATTTCATTGTCCAAAAGGTGGAAGAGGCAACAAGGGGATCAGCCACTTTAGATCTAATCCTAATCAATAAGGATGACTTGATTAATGGTGTGCAAATGGTGGGATTTAGGCGGGAGTAACCATGTTCTCTTGGAGTTTGTTATACAGTGGAAAGAAGGAGCCAGGCATAGTCAGACTTTAGGAGAGACTTTCTAGACTTTAGGAGAGCTGAT